ATTGTCATGCAAATTACGTAATATAGGCATTCATTACCACAAGCGTATGTCTTTCGAGACTCAAAAATGATTGCTTTTGCAGCACGTGAGTTGTGTCCATAACTACTTATGTAAATTACTATTAAGGAAATCGTTAACACGAAAAAGAATACGATAGAAAAAGAAGGATAGTTAAGACAATTACGTAACGATCTGTATTAGTGCACTTAAACACTCGGATAGATCTGACCTCTATTAGTAACAGAATTTGAGTATTACGCCCATAATGCTGCCATATTACTAACTACAGTTTTGAACACACACAACTATATTTTTAAAATTTCTGTCTTACAGTCTGTGGCATATTGATACACTAATCAATAGCCAAGGAAACTAATAAGTACTTATGGTCACAACTCACGTGATTCAAAAGTAATCATTTTTGAGTCTCAAAGGACATACGCTTGTGCGAATGAATGCCTATGTTACATAATTTGCATGAGAATTTGTGAAGCACGACTGATAATGAGTGTTGAAAGACATAGCTGTATATCGAGCTTTTTTATATTCTTTTACAACATGCCAGCTGAAAAGCTTCTGTTTGACAATACCAAGCCTTAGGTGCTTTTGTGGATTTATGATGAATTGGAGAAAGTTATATGTCTGATTTAATTGAACTGTGAAAACTTCAACGTCGAATATCGAACTTTAAAAAGATTTATCTGTTAATATTTGACTTGAATAGACGTCCTGTAGGATTACTTTAAACTAAAGAACTCTCTCTTATGACATGGATTACAAAGAGGTTTTGATTAACCATTCAAAGTTACTGGATTCTCACCTGTATAATTTCTAACTGACTCATCATTAAGAAAGAATCACCACATTATTTAAAAGAAAAACAATGACGACTATAATGGTTATCATGAAATATCTTGTTGAAAGCTTTGCTACTGAAGTGTTTTTTTCTAATATGATTAGGATATGTCTGATAGAATCATTTCATCACTGAATCATTGTCTTCGCTTTCGTCTTTTTCATATCGCTACCGTACAATAATTGGATGGCAACTATCAACGAAAAAGAATGTTGTTTGGTTTTATTCACAAACAATATGATGAAAGGTATTTTCTATTAACATAAGCTTATGAAGGTAGTTTAATCACATTCTTTCTATAAACAGACAAGTAACGCGGCGTAATCGCCGCTGACCCTCTACTGAAAGGATATGATTAGATCATTTATGTCCCTTGAAATAAAAAAATTGTTTTATTTCATAAGACCAATCACTCGATTATTTCTCCAAGAGTCTTTTACTCATACTCATTTTCCTTACTATAACCCTCTCAAACTAACGTCTAGTGGTTCGTCGGCCACTCACGACTAGCCGTTGATATATATAATCAATTTTTCTATTTTCACACCAAAAAACTAACTCGCTCATAGTGGACCGGGTCGTAATAGAAGATATTAAAACTGTATATTAAATTTTTAGTTTTTAGTTTTTAGTTTTTAGTTTTTAGTTTTTAGTTTTTAGTATTCAGTATTCAGTATTAAACTTTTAGTTTTTAGTTTTTCATTTTTGGTTTTCAGTATTCACTATTGAGTACTGAGTATTGAGTATTCAGTATTCATTATTCAACTCTTAGTTTTTAGCCTGGATATGCCGAAAAGGGAAGGCGGATGGTGCGGGGTGTGGGTGGGTGTGGGGTGTTGAGAGTGAGTTCGTCCCTGATATTCGTCAGAATATCTGAACATCTAGGTATTGCATAACTGCAGATCTACGGAGATCAGAGCGGTCCTTTTTGGATGCAGTTTCTGCCGTAATTGCATCACGTTTTACTCGGACTTTTCTTCGAGAAGAATCTCGAAAGGATTGGAGCTGGTATGCCTTTTTGACCGAGATATGAGTTAATTAGTGAAAGAACTAATGATAGATCCGGAAAAGAGGCTGAACTTTTAAACAAACATTTTGCGATGTTTTGCTCGATACCACTTAACGAGGTTAACGATGTGCCGTTAGTTAGTGCAACATCTAGCAAACTCTGAATGAGGAAGTTTCATATTTTTGAGGGTGAAGTTTTTGAATTACTGTGTAGAATTGATTTTAGTAGAACTAGTGCGCCTGGTCTGTGAGCGAGAATAGTTAAGGAACCTGCACCTGTCACAACTACGATCATAACATATTTATTTAACCAATCGCTAGAACCGAACAGTTTCCTAAAGCTTGGAAACTTGGCTGTATTATACCGATTCTTAACTCAGGCGATCCTTATGAATTGAATAATTAGTGTTCTACAACATTCCTGCCGGTTTTGTGAGGGTGAGGGTGGCAGTTATATACTGAATACTCGATACTGAATACTGAATACTAAAAACTAAAAACTATACTGGCGTAGATGGTGCGGAAGGATGAGTCCGCGGCGGGTGCAGTTTGGTCATGTTCTCTCTCCCCACATCATTCTCAAACTAAGAGCGACAAACGAAGACTTTGAAGAAGCGTTTTTGAACACTTCTCTCATACTAAGTGCTTCTCTCTCTTTTATTTTACGACCTGACAAATGGCTACTAACCGAACACAGGACAACGGTATCATCATTTTGGGCAACGCAGGCACAGGAAAAAGTTATCTCTGCAACATGCTCCTCAGCGAGGAGATGACTCGATTTGAGTCTGATTTCGCCAGCAGTGCAGTAACAACGGAAACGGAACATCAACGAATCACTGTTGGAGGACTCAATCCTCGCATCTACAATATTCCCGGTCTAATCGAAGCACAAGAGGGTATCGAGCGAAATAAACGAGAAATCATGAAAGCGTTCAACGAGTGTCCCAACTCCATCGTTCTTTTCGTTTGGGGACACGTCGGTGGCCGTGTTCAAAAGGATGACATCATTGCATTCAAAGCACTCAACGAAGCTTACCAATTTCCCCAAGGTTCTCTTGCCTTCGTCGTCAATAATCTCAAACCTACATGAAGGGCAGAGTACGATGGAGAATTTATGCGAGACGTCAAGACACTTCTTGCTCCGCTACAATATCCCACGTCGGATTTCATTTTCATCGATGAAGTCGACCCGGACAAAGAAGAATCAAAAGAAAAACTTAGACAGTCACGCCTCCAGCTATTCAATTTGATCAAATCACATAAACCAGCAGAACAAAAGAAGCACAAAGATATTGACCTCGAAGAGGAACAAATCAAAAAGTTGCGCAAACGCTTCGAACAGCAACGAGAAGCGTTTGAACGCGATCAAAAAACTGCCCAGACAGCACTCGATAACGTCCTTGAAGAATTGAAGAAGGTGAAGGAAGACGAGCGCAAGCAAAGGCAGGAACTGCAAAACAGGTTGGTAGAAATGGAAGGTCAACGTCAAAAAGCT